CCCGCCGCCCAGGGACGGAACCCTGCTCCCGGGCCGTTCCCCTCCCCGGAGCGCGCGGAAGGCGCGCCGACGGGCGGGTCCGCGGAGGGGAGGGAGGCCCCGAGCGACGGCGCGCGGAACAGAGGAAGAGGAGGCGGTCGGGCGGAAGCGTTACCTCTGCGGGCGGGGAATGCGGGGCGGGCGCGGCGGCGGGCGGCGGCGGCGGAGGCTAGGGTTTAGCGCGATCGCGTCGGGCGGCGGCCGCGACGGGGTTTTGAGGAGCTCCGGCGGGAGAAAGAGGGGGCGAACGCCGTTGTCACCGCCTGCCCCGTGGCTCTTGTTACCCCCTCCCCCCTCTGCCCGCGCCGCGGCCGTCTCGTCACGGGCACTGCAACAACAGCGGCAGTGGCTTGTGAGCTGTAAATGCCAAGTCTCTCCCCTACCCCACCCCTCACCATTGGACCAAAAGGTTTTGTATGTGATAATGTCCTTATTGAGCAATAATTGTGGTGCATTTATTGTGGGAGCGGAAAAAATGAGAGACATTAATTCTACTAGACCGGAGTTGATGGGGCGTATCCATCAGAGTATTTTATCATCATCACGTGCCTAAATATTAGTATTGAAAAGAAATTACGGTCAAGCAGCCGGTGACAGATCAGACCAGATTGCTAGAGTGGGCCCGAGGTGAGTTGGGCTGGGCCTTTTGGTCTGTTTCCTTTTTTTGGTAGGTATATGTTGGCTCGACCTAGATCTTAGGGTGGGGCGGTCTGGTGGGCTAGAAGGAAAGCAATTCACGACTACGAATTCCAAAGCCCACTTTCTACGATGTGTTTTGTGAACAGGTACTTGAAGGACCTGGAGATCGCTACCAAACGTGCACCAACGCGACGTTCACAGTCGGTGATTCATAGGCCGCGCAGGTGGATTCCGCCAGGAGAAGAGTCGATGAAGATCAATGTAGATGGGACCATCTCTCGCCAAGGAGGAACTGGTGCATCGGCTGCTGTGTGTCGGGACAAAGAAGGCAACTACCTTGGATCTTCAACGGTGGTTTTCGAAGGACTAGTCGACGCCCCAAGCTTGGAAGCTCAAGCGTGCAACGAGGCGCTTGCTTTGGCTCAAGATCTAATGCTGACACATGTGATAATAGTCTCGGATTGCATGCAGGTTGTTTCGGATATTCATGGGGTGGCGTCTTCTTCCTCTTATGCTTTTGTAATTCAAGAGATTAAAGATAGAGTTACAGACTTTTTAGGAGTTAAGTTTCGTTTTGAAGGTAGGGAGGCAAACTTTGAGGCTCATGCCTTGGCAAAGGCAGCCTCGTCTCTCCCTACATGTCGCCATCTGTGGCTAGGGAACCCGCCAGACATTATTTGTATTCCTCCGGCTTTGGTTGATCAATAAAATCCCTAGTTACACCTAAAAAAATCTTAGGGTGGGGCATGTCTTACCCTACGTCTTGCTGATCTACCCTAAAACGAGCAGCTAGATCATATTTTTGCGAAGGCTCGTGCTCTCAGCAACGGGTGGGTGCTCGTTGAGCTGATGCTAAAAGAATGGACATGGAATCGGATGGTTCAGACTATGCTTCAAGAAGGTTTTCCGGCGACTCCCACAACCGCTATATAATAGAAACAACATACGGCGATGCATAGGAAAGGAAATAAACATCATAACAAACATGAAAAAAACACTAGATCCAAGTTAGAATGAAAACGCGGCAATTTTACCATGCACTACGGCGGCGGCCCGATCCACTAGGAGCATCAACGACAGGACGCTTTCTCCTAGGCATCTTGCTCCAACTCAGGGGGCGACTATGGTGGCACCGATGGAAAAAAACTTTGAGGGTGGTGAGGACGGTAACCGAGGGCGAAGCTCCGAGCGATGAAGATCCTCTAGAGGCGAATCCTTATCGAAGGTGGAGGCGTCAGAGACTTCAAGTGTTCACCTGGGATGAAAAAGAAGAAGAACTCTGGGATCGCGAGGATTGGGGTGGCCGCTGGGGTTTGGGGCTATGGGAAAGAGTTGGTATGAAAAGGATTTATAGTCGAGTCTTTTTAAGCAGGGTTGGCTCTGGGCCTAGGCGGGAGGGTGACCGCCAAAGGCCCAACCCTAGGAGGGCAGGATCCTACATGGTTTGTTTGTCCTTGTACATAGGCAAATAGCCTGTCGCAAATAAAAAGGCCTAGTAGCCTGGTCTGTATGTACAAGAATTCATGAATAGTATGTGTCAATTAAGCATGTGGTGGTGCATCTCCACGACACAAAGACCGATCCCTCATGTCACACCACCACTTTACCTGCCTATCCTCGGCACCCCCTCCCCTTGTCGGTGTCAAAACCGGTGAATCTCGGGTAGGGGGTCCCGAGCTGTGGATCTTGGATCAATGGGTAACAAAGTACGCATGGACAATATTTACCCAGGTTCGGGCCCTCTCGAAGAGGTAAAACTCTATGTCCTGCTTGATTATATTAATGTGTGTATATGAGGATTACAGAGTTGATCTACCATGAGATCGTATGAACTAAACCCTATATGAGTAGGATGATGGTTCTAGCCTCTACGGACTAAACCCTCTGTTTTATATAGACACCAGGGGTACCTAGGCTTACATATGTCGGTTACCACCAAAGGATGAGCACGCGAGCTATGTCAACCAAGACTTGGAGCATACGTCAAGACCCCAGAGGCTTCCTTTTATAGCATGGGATTATCCGAAGGCCGGTCTTCTCATGTCGATCAATAAGTAGCCCACCAGTCCGGCCCATAAGAAACAGGTCGGCAGCCCGAGGACCCCTTAGTCCGGAACACCCTCGGTAGCCCCTGAACTAGTCTTCGAAGCCGAAGTATATGCGAGAATCATAGGCTTCATGGCCCAGTTCCTTCCTTCCATGGTGCTTACGCCAAGTTCGTAGTAACCCTTAGCCGGACCCTTAAGGGTTGCTTGACTATGTCCGGCCACATGTCATTCGGATTATGTCCGGATTTCCGAAGTGTATGTATTACTTAGCCTTGAAGGTCGGCCGCCCAAGTGTGAATAGTGTCTTCGTCTGACAAGTTTTACCGAAAGGCCACGACTTGACATAACCTCTAGCCAATTACGTGGTTCAAGGCAGTTTTTCATTGGCACGTCCTATCAAGATGGAGACCGTGCCTATTTTTAAGGGATATGATCAATGATTCGCCTTACCCCATGCGCACACAACGACACGATTATATCGGGAAGACACGAGGTCCGCGACACAGTAAAAGGGCTCTTGGTATTACGACGGCCTATAAAAGAGGAACCACCACAACTTTCATCGTACGCTCTCTCTTCCTCCCCTGCCATTGCCTTCCCAAACCTCTGAGCTCCAGCTCCAGATCCACCCAACCTTCCAAAAGATTTCTCCGGCCATTTTATCGATCAATCATGGCCGGCTCGGGCTCCAAGGGCAAGTGGGAAGCCTCTAGTGTCACCGAAGATGCCATCCTGGCGCTAAAAAGTGTCGGCTACCTGCCGGCCAATGTCGCCCACCGCATTCCGAAGGAGGGCCAGGTCGTCCCCATGCTAAGGCCCGGCGAGAGGATGGTATTGCTCCTCCACTTCATCCAGGGACTTGGTTTCCCTCTCCACCCCTTTGTTAGGGGGTTGATGTTCTTCTACGGGCTGGATTTCCATGACCTCGCCCCTAACTCCTTCCTACACATCTTAGCCTTCATCATTATCTGTGAGGCCTTTCTGCGGATCTGGCCACACTTTGGCTTTTGACTCAAGCTCTTCAACATCAAGCCGAAGAGAAGATTGTCGACGGCCAACAGGCGGACTACCGGGGGGAGGGGGCGATGGTCAGCAAAATCCCCCGAGTGGAGTGGCCGAACGGTACTTTCATAGAGACCGTCAAGATCTGGCAGAACGAGTGGTTCTACATCATGGAACCGCGAGGTGAGGCTTGGGCGGAGATCCCTGCTTTTAGATCCGTACCTCCCATGAGGCTGGTCTCATGGACCAGAAAAGGGCTCGACTGGGGGTCGACCACGGAGGTGGAGTCGCTTCAAAGCCGGATACCCAAGATGCTGAAGATGAAGGTCGAGTTACCAAAGGTGATTCAGATCATGCTTCGCCAGTGACTCCTACCTTACCAAGATTGGGATGTCCCCATGTGGTCCTACAAGCCCGAAGGCCCTGCCACCCTGCTTCGCTTCTACCGCACCTCCCACGACAAAATGTGGAAGGTTGTTTTCAAGGCCCAGCCAAGACGGAGGATATCGTCCTTGACGCCGCCAACCCCCCTTGCGAGGTACGATAAGTTATATCATTGTGTTCGGATATTTCTTTCTGACAAAGAAATTAACTCCTCCTTCTTCGTCGCACAGAGCTGGCTGAAGAAAGCCGCCCAGATCGATAGCCCGACCCTGTTGCCCGAGGACCACAGGATGGCCCTGCTGACGAAAATGTTGGCCGTGGCGCCGTACAAGGTGTCGGAGAAGAAGAAGGGCGAGAAGAGGGAGGCCCGAGAGGGCCTCCGCCCTAGAGGACCCCCGGATACTAAGTCCGGGGAAACCCAACCCCCCTTCGCTCATGATGGAGAGCAAGGAAAGGACGGGGAGGAGAGCGACTCCTCCCGAACAAGGAAGAGAGCAGCGGTAGAGGACGCCGAGGAGGACTAGCCTCCTCCCGCTCCGAAGAGACAATGCAGGGCCAAGGTGGCCCTATCTGACAACAGCTCGGACTCCACCAAGGAGTCCAAGGCTTCCAAAGAGGTTCCCC